AAGTAACATTGCTGCACTCACTATCCCAGGTTTGTTTGTGTAAGTGTTCTGTTGCCAGCAAATCAAACATTCTGCAAATTAAGGCAAATACTCAGTCACATGTTTCTTTATATTTTATTATGTTACAGATTAAGTCACTTGTTCGTACTTACTTTGTTCTGTCTTTTCAATCTTCACAAAGATCAGGTGTGGGGAAACGCCTGCCTAGCATTTCCTCATTTTAAAGTCCTGCTGATGTCACACATGACATCAGCAGGTCAAACCAAGTGGAGGGGTTTCTTTGTCAATAGAAATGCTTCCTTTTTTTGTGTTAAGGTTTAAAGGGATTTGTTGAATGTTTTTCTTTTCATTAATACCACCATTTAGCTGTGTAAATGTGCATATTAGAAATGTGAAGAGGTTTTGTGTCTTTTTAATCATCTGTGTAGAGTTTTAGATCCCTCAGTTCGAGTGAGTGGTACTGGCTGGGCTAATTGGAGGGAAATTGATGGCCCTATTTAAAGCCAGTCTCTACTAGATTCAAGAGAGAGAGGGACGCTCCACACCAGTTAGTGGCGGTGAGGCTCCAGTTTGCTGTTTGCCAACCGCTAGTGATGTGCATACCACTGATTTCCTTTCCGATCCCAAGTAATATTCAGGGTGGTATCGACGATACTTTGTACAAAACCTTATTTTATTTATTGTATCTCAAATTATAGCATCATAATGATTACAGGACATCAGATCACTTGTTCTTATCACTTAAAAATGCAGAGTTCATCATATAAAACTGAAGTTGTGGCTATTTGAACACCTTGCCTGCCTGCAGCACTAAAGGACTCCGTGAGAGACGTCTGTCTCGCCCTAGCAGCACCTGTCCCTGTCCTCTTCAGTTCGTCTCAACATACGCTCGTCATATCCTGTGATGTGATTTACTCTGAGGCTTTTGACAAGGTTAATGATGTTGCCACAACCATACATGCCAACCCTCCCGATTCTTCCAGGAGAATACCGAATTTCAGTGCCCCTCCTGAAAATCTCCCGGAGCCAAAATTCTCCCGATTTTCCACCCGGACAACAACATTGAAAAACCATATCGCAGAATTCATAGCGCGGCCCAGCCAATTCCAGTTTCCAACAATGGCGGCAGCGACTTAGTTTTAATATGACTCTTATTTCTCTTTCTGGGTCGCAAAAAAACTTTTTAACATATTTTCAGGTGAGAATGTAGCTGTGTGAACTTCAAATATCTGAGCCGACCGACGCATCGTCTTCAAACCCCCGCGGGCTTTCACTACTCGGGTTAAACATGATATATAAGTCACTTTGATAACTTAAAAATGTTATTGTTTGGCTTTTCCAGTGTTTTATTTGTTCGTGAGATTAAAGTTATTAGATTAAATTAAATTTAACTTTATTAATCCCTCGGGAGGGTTCCTCCGGGGTTTTCACACAGTGAACATGTGGGAAAACTTCCTCCTGTGTTAATGTTCCGCCAATAAACCCTATACTGTAGAAGAAGAAGAAAGAGAGAGGAGAAGTGAGCTGTGTTACCAGATCCATGTTCTGTTGAGTTTTGTTAATTGAGTTGATTTGGGGGAAGTTTTGTTAATTTATACATTAAATTAAGTTCACTGTAAATAAATTGCTCACCTCTGGGAACCTGAAATGTCTGCGTAGTCTGCTTTCCTACCACCTTCCTGGACGTTGGAGTCTGACTATTCACAGGTTGAAACTGAACTTATTTTTCTTAAACGTATGAATGGCTGTCTGTCTCTCTATATTAGCCCTATATGCTAACATACACTGCAGCTCCCTTGTTACGTTGAATTGGAGTAATAGAAGAAAATGGATGTATATATTTTGACGTATGCAATAACAACATTTTATTGAATAATAATCTTGAAATTCTAGATATTAAAATCCTACAATCAAAAATGAGCCCAATAGTTAGTTTAGAGCTTTAGTGAGAACCGCTGGAGCAAATATGCTCCTCACAGAAGTTGCTGGGGTTGAAATCTCCGAGTCGCCATGCTGCCGCTTACAGTCTGTAATTGCTAGGCTTCAGGCTTTACTGGAGTGATTTTTCAGTCATTTATACTTCACCCAAGTGCTGAATATCACCCTCCATACAGCTGCACCACAGCGGGGCGTCTGGGTGCACCTTCGACAAGGCCACCCTCTGAGACTTCCTCACCTCTCTGCCTCTGTAACTCCACCTCAACCGAAAATGACTGCAATCAGTCTCTTAGTTTCCCGTTACATCTGCCATTTGAAATTGTGAGGCACCGTGCAATCATTCTAATCAAGCTGTTACTAGATGCCACACGGTGAGTTAAACATAAAGGAGCAAAGTGAAAAGTCCCAGTTTTCTTGATGTCAAAGCTGCTGTGTTAATCTTTTCTGCACCTTTGACACAGAGCAGAGCTTTAGCACACAAACCTTTGAGTGAATAGCTGCTGAATCTGGCTTTCACTTCAGTCGTGCCGCATATGCTTACTCACAGACCGCTCTTTACAGCACATCTTCCTCTTTTTTACATTTCAAATGCACGGTTTTCACTTGGAGCTTCTCTCTTACCCTCAATCCATTTAATAATGCGCGCACTTTAGCACAGCCTACTTCCATGTCCTTAAAATTGTACAAAACCAATAAGGAGATCCTTTGAAATGCTACTGAAAGGAAGGCCCGCTTCATTGTAACAATCAGTGAGCGTACCATTGCACTTACTGATGAGGTTCTGCTCTTGAAAATGCAGCTCAAGTAAATCTAGCTGAAAAAAGCTTGCAGAGGATGATGGGAGAGTGCAATTAAGCCAGCCGGCTGAGCAGGTGTCAGTGGGTTGTTTGTTACCAAACAAGCTGCTGTTGCTGACCATGTCCATCCCTTTATGGCCACAGTGCACCAATCATCTGATGGCTCATTCAGGATAACACGGCACCAAGCTCAAATCATCTTAGACTGGTTTCTTGAACAAGACAGCTGACTTGACTCAAACGGCCTTCAGTCAGCAGATCCCTGCAGAGGACCTTTGGGATGTGGTGGAACGGGAGATTGTCATCAGCTGGCAAATCTGCAGCAGCCGTGTGACGCAGTCACGTCAACGTGGAGCGAATATCTGAGGAATGTTTCCAGCAGCTTTTTGATTCTGAAGGCAAAACCCAGCATTCACAGGTTGTACCTAATAAAGTGTCTGGTGTGCATCTGAATGCACAGATTGCTCTAATGAAAAGTAGGACATGCTGTAAAGACCCCAGAGTCCCTGAACAGTGCTACGGCAACATGAGGCTCTGTTTGCTCCTGCCTCAAAAAAAACCATCACTCCTGGTTAATGTATTCAGGCTGCTGCGCCTCAATTTGGTTTTTTTCTATTTCCATATAAATGACTTATTTGTGAGTTTTCAAACTACTCGGAGAACTTGAGATTTTTGCCATTTTAATTCTGAATTTGTCCATTTTGGGGGGGGGTGTCCTTGAAGCAGTCTGTGGGTTTGCTCACAATGCAAAGGTGTGCTTGGCAAAGCTTTTGGTACCACTGTAGTGACAGTGAAGTACTGACCCCCAGTGGTGAGCAGTGGTGATGCATTTTAAATCAAAGCAGCATGTGGTTCATTTTTCTCTCATTTATTCATGTAAGTGTGCAAAAACACTGAGTTTAGAGCGTCAACAATCTTCTACTTAAGGCAAAGACGACCTTTTCTGCTTCATGTTCAGATCATTAATGTTGGGGGCATGACTCACTGCTCGTCCACCTGGACTCACACTGAGCAGCCTCTTCCCAGTTCACCTGTGCAGGAACAGGACTATGAATGATTTACATGCAGGACTTGTTCTGTGTGCCAACCTGGCCAAATCCCCCCCGAGGAATTTGGACAGGCTTTTTTTGCCAATGAGGCAAAAGTGAAGCTTTCAGCATTCTCACAGTTGAAGTCGATGGAGTGTGACGTCTCTGAAGATTAATGAGGGGAGCTTCTGCTGAGCGAGCAAGGCGACAGGAAACACGAGCAGCCGCTGAACGCCACTCTGATCACATGATCAGGAGAGTACTGCATATTCTACGGCTCCACCCCACCCACCCAAAAAGTGTCTAAAAAGATAAATCACAGTCCTGTTATTTATTTATTTTTTTATTGAAATATAATCGACCCCTGAGGCTAGAGAAGAAGGCCACAGATCGTGCCTCGTCTAGCGCCTCAGTCTGACACAGCCAGTTAGAACACAACAGACCTGCCAAAAAACACGTTACACAACTTGTGAAAACTCCTTTTTTGCAAACCAAATGTAAAAGTTTCCACCTTCATTCACTTACAAAGTTTCGGGATGTATAAAACTGAAATCTGTTACATAATTTAAACAGAAGCTCTTCATTTACTCACAATCGCCCTTTCAGGATTCCTCAGGCATTTTGATCAACCCGAGAAAGGCATCAATCAAATGTTTCTGGACAAAAAACAGATACCAGCAGGTAGTTCGCTTAGTTTAGCACGAGCCTCACCAGGAAATTTGAAAATTTCTTGGACCCAGTAAAGCCGAGCTCCTTATGCCTTTTCAGCTCAGGACCAAACAGGTTTTTCATCTTGGTCCAAAATATGAGACTCAAATGTGAAGAATCTCCAAGATTAAAAAAAAAAAAAAACAAACACAGTGGGGAGCTTTTTTTTTTTTGTCCAGGTCTGGGACACACTGAGGTAACAGACAGTAATAAATTATTTAATTCCTTATAAAACACACAAGATTCATATCAATAATACAAAATGGTATCAAACACACATGATGCAACATTTTCAACACATTCGGTTTTTCTTCTTTTTTCCTGGCGTCTGTTGCTTCTGTAATAGCTGGAGTCCTTTTCTGGAAACTCCTGATCAGTAAATGTCGATCAGTACTGTCAATGTTGTATTCCTCCTTTAGCAGAGGGCGATTCCCACGTCCACGCTCAGGTGAATTTGTCATTTAATAAATGATTTTTCACTGGCAGCCTTCTTAAATTCAAAACTGAATACCGAACAATGTTTTTTTTAAAATACCTTTTGAATATTTTTAAGTCCCATCCTAGTTTTACTCTGTTACAATCACCACGGAGGCAACAGGCACACAGCGTTACGACACCTATCAGCTCGCTTCGTTTTCCCTATTTTTACATTCAGACGTTGTTACCGTGCTCCTCGCTTCTATTACTGATTCAGAAAGAAAACAACATGCCGATAGGAAAGTGAGAAATCGTATTAAAAGTGCAAAAAGAAAAAAAAAAAAAGATGCACTCCTTCCTTCAAGAGTCCGTATTCATCCAGAGAGCAAAGTGTCAGCTGAAACTTTAGTGCGTTAACAGTACGAGCCATTTCGTATATTATTAAACTGTACATCCCTATCCACCGCACGACCACGAGCACCGAGTCACTGAGCGTGTTGTTGCTTCTAGTGTGCAGTTTCCCTACACCTAACCGTGGTCTGTGGCTAAGCTAACATGGCTTTCAGCCCTGGGAGCGCCGCGCCGCCGACACATTCCCAGGTTACCGTTTTTACCCCCCCCACACAGATTTATCTTATGACGTAGTCCTGAATTCAGTGGTGCAGTCTGAACAGCCTCGAGACTGAAATAAAGTGACATCACATGGTTTTGGTTAGTGGCCAGCGCAAATCACGAAGCTCTCGTTATCCCTTATTCTATTTCATTAAGACTTTCCTGGAGAGCTTCTGTAAAACAGCACTGAATCTGTTTACATTGCCACAGTTTGTGTTTTTAATATCAAATATAATCATATTTTTCTGTAATATTTCAGCTATTAAAAACATGGGAGGAAAAGAAAAGTATCAGGACAGCTGATCGTACAGTACTTAACAGATTGCACTCGTTACCGACGACGACGACTGAAGAGGCAACCGAACCAACCGTCAAACACTTTGAGACAAAGTGGCTCCTGGTGCCGTCTGTTTGCACGTGAGAAACTAGTCCCGCGTAAGAGTGTAAACAAGGCCTTTAACAGATCGCCACGCCAACCGGTCTCAGTATTCTCTTTAACAATAATCAAACACTTGCTGATCTGCTCGTAGCATTCACTGACACATATGACACGTTTCTTTCACTTGCCCTCTCGCCGCCCTCCAAACTGACATTTCCAAACCACATCACCACAATGTTCACGCTCACTATACTCACTGGGCTCACCGTCCACGTATCGACGACACTGCACAACATCTATTGTCACCACTCTCGGCTTCGTCCGCTCTGCAGAAAGAGAACAGAGATCCAAAGCCGGCCTCGTCGGGCATCACGTCGGAGCTTTTCCCACCGGAATTGAAGGTGCGTGGGGACAGACTGCTGGGAGTCAAAACCACAAACACCGCTGCTTTTCCTTCCCTTGCTCAAGAGGACAAAAGGTTCCAAGTTCAAGGTGATTCTGACCTCTGTCTTTCCCGGACAGTTTGTCGTCTTGTGCCACGTTTCATAGTAAGTTCATAAATTAGATAACTATGCATTTCAGGGACGAGTACAGATGGGGAGAGGTTCTCAAAGAAAGAAGAAAAACCTTTGAAAAGGACCATATAGTGAGGGGGGCAGGCGTAGCACTCAGTCCGAGGCATCGTGAGGGGCCGAGTCCAACATTTCAGATCAATTTCATCCTTCCTGGATCCATCGAGTCATTCCTCAACCAACCCCCAGTCCCTTTTGTGCTCCCGTAGTTTGACCACTGCTGGGGAGTTCCCTGACATCCAAAGGTTTGTTGGTGTGTGTGTGCGTGTGTGTGTGCGCGCGCGTGTGTGATAGATGATGGAGATAATGAGCTTGGTCACAATATGGCGCAGTGGAACCTGTGGGAGGCCGTGGAACGCTCCGCCCTCCACTTCATCTTCTTTTTCTTCTTCTGGTTTCTCTCTGGGACCTGTTGTCTGCAGGCAGCAAAAAAGAAGAAGAGAAGGCATAAACCTCTTTTTTAATCATTTGAAAGCAAAACTTTAACTTTGTACTTTAGAATTATCTCATATAGATGATCATTTTTCTCCAGCTCAGGAAATCGTCATTTTAATCTCCAAATTTTACCTACAAGGTCAATTTCCCAAGTTTTACTTTTGATTTCCATTTCTGACGCCGAGTAGTGGGAATCAAATTTAAAAAACAGAAGATAATTGCAATGATCCCCCTGAACTAGTACATTACGCCCCTTTAATAAAACTCTTTTTATAACCTTTGCACTGTTTTTACTGAGCTCCAGGCTTGTGTGTCTAATGTTTTCCTGTGCTCATGTCTCCAGAATTGAGACAGAGCTGAGTCCACTGCTATAAAAGAACCCATAAATCCATAAATCAATGCACTGGCTGTTGCTGATTAAGTTTAGCATTTCATGAGTGCTCAGGGCAGATCATTCAATATTCTTTGAACCTCCCTGGTGACTGGATGTCTAAAGTATGACCACAGGAGGGCAGTGTTGATTCATCGAGCTCCAAATGTGTTGCAAAGGCAGAGTTTTCTCATGAGTCAGCTACAAGCTGGCAAACGCACAATAAGAGCTTTCCACAAGTCTAGTAATCTTATTTTTTTTAATAACGTGTGAGAGAACGCACTGATCTGCTGCTGTGTAACGAGCACGAAGCCCCGACACCACGAGAGGGATTACTTGTCGCCCTTCGGAGTGTTCGGCCAGACTTATAAACAGGATGTGACCACATACAAAAACCAAATTCTTCTGAAATTACACGGGTCAAGACAGGAAGTGGCTTTGGTCTTGTTTCCCCCCCTTTTTTTTTCCCCCCATCCTTCCTAAAAACACTTTCACAGTCCAGCGCTGCGCTGCGTTGCATCACTTTAGCTTTATGGCCAGCTGATGCATTTTTACTGTTGCTTGATATGAGATTTCAGCTGCTCCAGAGTTTTGAGGTTTTCTTTGCCATGCTGTTTGTTATAGGTGACTGCAGATCAGACTCCTTTAATTAGAGCTGCATAGTCGTGTTTTGGTATCGTCTATGCCTCTTTGATCCAAAACCCTTTTACCAAGTTTATAATTAACAGCACCGTCACAGATGTGCATATTAGCCATGGCATTTATTTTTTTAATCCTTTATTTATCCAGGTAAAAAATCTCATTGAGATTAAAAATCTCATTTCCAAGAGAGACCTGGCATCATGGCAACAAAAGTCACATACCACATAGGTATATAGCATTCAAACTAATACCCCCTCCACACCATCTCACACGCCTTTAGGACAGAGCGCTGTTGTCGGGAGGATTTTGTAAAAGAATCCGAAATTCGTGTCTTGGAAAACAAACCTCACTTCATCTTTAATGAGACGGGAACACGTCGGCGTTCCTTTGCAGGTTTAACCTGCACTCACAGGCGGTACCACGATTTTTGTTCCATCTGTTTTAATGAAGTGCTGCCTTTCACGCAGTGGTGACCCATCTTTACATAAAGTGCATCCCTATCCCAGCATATTTATTTCAAAGATCTGAAGGTCCTCAGGTTACCTTATAACACGAACCAGTTCATGAAAGGCTTTGTCCACGTTCATTGGGGGGTCCTTGGCACTGGTTTCAATATAAGTTATCTGAGGAAACAAATATGAAACATGAGCAGCTCAGTCAGGTGTTTAAGTTTACAGTAATGTGCAGTTCAAGTCTGTGATGGTTCTGAAAGACCAATAATGATTAAGCATTAATCGCATTCAGAACTGTTGCCTGTCTAAACAAGCTGAGAAGTAGCAGCTTGCAGGCCTATAAATGCCATTTGCTCGTTTCCTTGAACCCTGGTCTTTTCTGCCCCCGTACACGACCTGTGTTTATTACGGACTAACATGAAAACACTGAAACTTAAAGCTTTGCATAATTCAAAAACCCTGATGCTGTTTGTAGGCGGTAATAAGTCATCAGGGACCCGTGCTTAAGGAAAGAGTACTTACATTATGCTTTGCAGCCATCTCCTGCCCCTGGTCAGTTGTGACTTTTCTTAGGTGGACCAAGTCCACTTTGTTTGCGACCAGCACCATGGGGAAGGCCTCCCTGAGACGATAAGGACACAGAGTCGAGATGCAATGCATCGCTGTATTACTGAATATTTTATCGATGCGTACAGATGTTTCAAACAGCCTTGAATGCTTAGTCATAGGAGGATATGACTAATTCTCGCTTGCATTTGAAACGCTAACACACTAAAAAACAGGCCATGTTTAATTTGGGATAGATCAGCTGCTGATGAGCGCAAATTTTGACAGACTCCAACTCGTTCAGTTCCGTTTTTTTGTTTTTCCATTTCCTGCGTGTGACTCAGTTTTATTTGTCAGTCACGGTCGAGAACTGACGACGACAGATTTCAGCTTTGGAAATAACTGATGTTCCGTCGGTGTGAGCAAGAGCGAGGAAAGGAGGAGACCTTCATCTTCAACCGCCCTTAAATCACATGATAACCATACCCCTCAGCGCGGCCCGAGTCAGCGAGGGCAAAGTTTGGTCTTTAATGAATATGATGAACTACTTCCTCTTTTGCTATATTTAACAGAGTGGTTCACACAGACTTTCAGTTGAAATGTTGGTGCTTTCCGAGACTGCTCGTATAGCTTTTGCAAACAAACCTTTTGAACTGCGTACCCTTTGTGTTAATAAGGGCACACTAGGACAGAGACCAAGACTCTCTGGAAGATAACATGTGCCTTAAATGGAAAGGGGAACCTAATCGGATGCTATATATGACATTAAGGCAAAATTTACTTCACAACATTTCAGTTCTTTGTCTCCCTTTGGACCAAACATGACACAGACAGCCCTGACTGCACATTTATGACACCGCCTGACACAGATCTGTCTGACGGTGTAATGAGACATTTATACTGAATGAGATTAACAGTATAAATAAAAGGTTCAATAAAATAAACTACATACAACTTGCCTCCAACTTTCACACAGTGCAATCAACGTTCGTGGCACCAGTGGTTTCAAGCGTTTCTCATGATTAAATACCTTCTCAGGTTGCTTGGCACCATGTTAGCAGTAACCATCCTCTGACTGAGGACTTCTGAAACCCCCCAGTCCAGCCAAAGCCAAGAAACAGGTTCAGTCACCAACAAACTAAAAAGTGATTCTCTCCACCCAAAAAAATACTATCCTCTGTGCTTTCATGTAACACACAGTAAAAAATGCCCACTTGGAAAAGTGTGGGAGTTTAAACTTGAAAAACTTTAAACTGCCTATATATGGATAAACAAATGCTTATAATGCACTGATACAGTAAGCGCACCATGCATTCATTTCTTTGTATAATCTTCAGCTGATAAGGCTCACTGTTATGACGTAGTCAGCTAGTTATTAAAGCCATGTTTTAATAACTAGCTGCAAAACTTGCTCCAAGAGAAACAAAGAAAAGAGGGGCTGCAAAAGACTTTGCAAGAATATTTAATTTTGTTGTCCAAGTGTTTATTTTTCTGCTCCTACCTGTCTTTGACCCGTAGTATGAGTTGATGGAATCGGTCAACGTGTTCAAAGCTGGCCTTGTCCGTCACCGAGAAGACGATCAGGAAGCCGTCTCCCGTCCTCATGTACTGCTCCCTCATTGCACTGAACTCCTCCTGACCGGCTGTGTCCAGTACTGTGTCCATGTCGGGACAAATGCATTAATACACTGAGAAGGGTCTCAGGGCTCTTCACTTAAATCACACAAGTACACGAAATACTCCCCGAGCATCATCTGATGCAAGGATCGCACTTTGAACATGCATACGTTCATTAAAAATACATCAGACTAAAACAAAACTGATCCACACACAAACATCAGTAGTATTTAAAATGTGATTTTTATCAGAGCCACTGTGGACGTCCTGTCACTACAACATGTGAGTTTTAGTTTCATGCCCCCCCCACCAGCACAATCACTGCACACTGGGAGAAAGACATTTGTACATCTACGTGGGTCTGTGGGCCACTGTCCTTATCTTGAGTGCATTCATGGCTTAGCTACACGCTTGCGTAACAGTTGCATCACAAAGTGACATTTTCTCTTTGCAAAGGTCAGAAGTTCACTTATAAAAGACTGAACATATTCAATGATAGAAAAATTTAGAAATGATCTGTTTTTCAGGTGTTTTTGCATCCTTTAAATATAAATTGAGTAATTATAAAGGGAGAGGATAAAATTATGGAATTGTACACAGTTTCTCTCACATGGAAAAACCACAGCTGATGTTTTATATAAAGCTCAGTGTAGACAGCTGCCGCAGGATTGTAATTACAGGCAAAAGAAGAACAATAACAAATGTTAACTTGTGGCACGATGATGGATGTGTTGTGCTGACTGAAACAAGAGGGAAAAATAAGAAGCATAGAAGATTTACAAGCTGTGTGGTTCTTTGGAACTCACCGTCCAGTATGGCCCACTGTCCGTCTATTTCTGTGTGTTTAAGATACGAGTCCTCAATCGTGGGATCGTAGTCTGGCACGAAGATCTTCTGGAAAAACTGGATGGTGAGGGCACTCTTCCCGACACCCCCATCCCCCACCACCACCAGCTTGTACGTTGGCAGGTTGTCACTTGGCACGGCGCTGGTTGCCATGGCTACCCTCTACAGTGGCGGTAAAGGTGGGAAGTAGGTAGGATAGCAGGTGGCTGACGAGACGCACCTGGCTGGCTGAAATGCAGAACCAAGTGAGGGAGACGAGGGATTGACAACAAAGGGAGGGAGGGAGAGAACAAGCCAGAGATGTGTTAAGATTTTTATTTTTTCCCCCCCAGGCTGGTTTTACATCACCATGGAGACAGAGCACAGCCAGGAGATGTAGATCAAAGGAGAAAGAGGAAAAACAAAGATGGGAAAACTAGAGCAAGAGAGGCCAAAAGGCAGAGTTCAGCTCGGCTCACGCTGGATTATTTTCATAGCTGAGTAACAGTAAGTTCGTCCCAGAGCTGCACCCACCAGAGGAACAAGCTCAGCGGCATGTGCTCACGGGCTGAAAGCCCAAAGCAGCGACAACACAAGGTGGATTTACACATCGGTGGGTTACAGCTAGGGCTGGGTATCGTCGCCGATTTTTATAATTGATTCAATTCTGATTCACAAGCTTCCAATTCAATTTTGACTCAAATGATCAGAATTAGAATATTTCTGTCTCAGTACATGTCTATATTTTTATATCCATGTATAGAAACAAAGCTGACACGTGTGAGCATCACAGCAGATGACTGTGTCAAAGTAACCAAGGATAAAAACATGAAGGCGATTTTCCTGGCCTGGCTTTTTATAGCAGATAACCCTATTAAAATATTCTGCAGTAGTTAAGAAAACCATGAATCAACATACGAACATTGAGTCACTTAAGCAGCATCAGGTAGAGCTCTCCCTCGACACATACACACAATCATCACAACATAGGAGAGCGCTTCCTTTTCAAGCAGCTAAAACCACCACACAGGAAAATCTCTGCCAAGCAAAATACTTCGGTTTCAAATTAAGAGCTTTCCTCTAAAATACAAAAAAGAAAATGCTGTCATTCTGCTGCTGCGTGAAACAGACGACCATTAGAGCGTCCATATGGCATCTTTGTAAGCTGGCACATTTTAAATCTAAGTGGGAAGCGTTCCTGCGTGTGCTTCACAAGTCAAAACTAAATGAATGACGACAACAAAGCCAGAGAAATATGACGGCTCAAACACAGATGTACAGCTGGAGCTTCTAATTACTTTTTAAGAACAAAAATGAACTTCAACATTAAGGGGTTAAACTGAAGCTTTCTGTGGGAGAGGCGTCAGTGCTCAGTATATCAAATCATTCAGAGGCATTCTGCACTTAAACCACAGGAGAACAGCCTGTTTGCTACTCAGTCGTAAGATTATGTGCTTCGAATCAGGCATCGCCTTGTTGCTGGAGCTTTAATATCCACTGTGCTATCTCAGTCTGTCGTGGCAGAAAGTTCAGACCACAGCTGTCCTCGAAGCTCCCAAATCTACAAAGAATGAGTCACGAGAGGAGAGCGGGAAAGCGGGTGAGAGAAATCGGAAGCAGGAGTGAGGCGGAGGAAGTCGGGCCGTACGAGGACAAAGTTGACAGAAATGTTGTAGCGTGGTGTTGAGTCGCTGCACAGAGAGCCGCTTTATTTCGCTTCCTGTTTTTGATGCGTGACACTGACTGCTCTTAACTCCAGGCATACAATTAAAACAGTTTTTTTTTTTAAATAAGAGCAGACAAATAATCGCACCACACTTCCTTCATGGAATTAGATCTGCACAGGTTGGAACCAACTTTTCCTCATCATTCACAACACCCAAATTACAGCCACAGTCAGCCCAGACGCTGCCAACCTTCAGTCCAACCCAGAGCCATCGGAAGCTTGGAGATGTGTGTGATAAATCTGGGGTGACCAGAAACAAGTCGATCAGAGGGACCGCTTGGCTCGAGCAGTTTGAGGACAAAGTTAGAGGTTAGAGGAGGAAAAGATGAAGAGCACCGAGAAGCTTCATGGATGTAATGAAGGAGGACATGCACAGGGTTGGTGTGACAGAGGCAGATGCTCAGGACGGGTGAGCTTTAAGAAATTTGCATTTTCCTCTGCGTGCCCGTCCTAATGCAACCCTCCCATTTACCTGTGCTTGGAACCATTACTAGGAGTGACCAACGCCCATGAGACTGGGTTTGTGTGTCATCCCCTCCCAAACCTAGAATCTTTCACATGTCAGACAAATAACCACCATGGAGCCCCAGAATTTCATCACAGGCTCTACAGGTCGCTCTTCCAACTGCTGCTTATAAAGAAAAGGCATCTGCAATCTTTTAAGAGTGTGCATGAAGATAACCTGCCAGGGATTCATGTCAGGAAGAGGCCTTTCTGTCCAGAAAGAGCGTTGGAGTAAATCTGCAGTTTGATCCTGAGGGTACAAAGAGCAGGCCTTTTGAAACAGAACAATCAGAGAGAGTCGTTTTACCAGTAACTGAAGCAAGACGATAGGAAATCTTATTGTTCTGGATGGTTTTGCTGCCTCTGGACAGCTCTCAGTCATTGACTCAACTATTCATTTTTTTGTATTGGGAAGCATCTGAGGAAAATTTGAGGCCATGAGTATCAAAGCTGAAGTTGAACTCCAAGTAGACCTTGTAACAGGCTAATGATCCTAAGCACGCTGACAAATCCACACTGGAATGGCTCAAAAGCAAAAAAAGACCCAGATATGAATCTCATTAGAATGTTGAAGCATGAGGCACGTGCAGGAAAATCCCCACACAGCTCCAAACTTAAAGGATTTTTCCACAGAAAAAAAAAATGTGTCTGCTGATGTTATAAAAGCTGATTTGATGATACCAGCACTGCTAATCTGTAGATACCAAATATTTTTAAAAATTAACAAATTTAAATAGGATGTATCCTTTTTAAAAACAAACAAAAAAAACAAACATTAGTTTGGGGAGCTTTCCTCAACATAAATAAAATTAATTATCCAAATGGTTCCTATTATTTTGATATCATTCCAGACTCTTTGGCTAGAAATGAAACACCTCCAATGTTCATAAAGAGAAATTTGCTCCAAGGTCATTTTATTGGTAACATTAAGTATATGACATTTTATTGCAAAGATATTAAAACATGCACCCAAAGCCATCCAAATACATATAACACATAAAATTAAAACCAGACTTTCACATTACAACGAAGCCTGCAGATTTACAGTTTTAATTCAACTGCAGCAAGAGATAAAAGCATAAAAAAAGAGAAACATTCACCCACTAGCATCAACACTCCTACCACCCACACACCCATTCCTCCTCCATCGTGCAGGAAACAGCTGTCAGCTGGCTAAAGTCCATCCTTTCCTGCAGCACAATGGAGGGAAGGAAGATGTTTCCTTCCTTTGCAATGCCAAGCCAGGTTAAGCAAAAAGATTGAGTCAAATTCCTGATGTTAAAACAAAAAAATAAAAATAAACTCTTCAGTCGTTTAGATGTCTGGATGGCTGTCAAAGCCACAAAATAGGTGTCTATTCCACTTTAAAAGCCATCTATGACTGAAGAAAAACAAATAACCTCATGAAGCACTCTGAAACCACAGCACACATTACAGCTGTGGTTTTTACACCAGTCATACATTTGGTGTTCTCGATGAAACCAACTCACATCTAAACCTTATCAGGTTCATCTTGATTTCACTCTTAGACTATTTGGTGGCATCTCCCTACAACTGCATCTGTGCCTTAGAAAAACAGAATGACAGGTGACATCAGAAACCACACAGAAGACTCTGTGGAGAATCTGTTTATTACAAACTAGCCAAACCACTTAACCCCAGCACAAAAGAGACAAATAACCCTTAACCTTCGCCTGACTTTTGGACAATAACATGCATCGAGAAAAAGAGAGCGATAACATGAGGACTAAAATGTTTGATGTGTTCAACAGACGTGTGTTAAACTTGTAAAATAAGGACAACGTGTTACAAACCACCCAAAACAGTATCTGCTGACACTTCTGAGTTATCACTTCACTTTAAACAGACTGTACTTGTGTTTTACTCAAACCTGGCATCAGCTGCAGGACAGAGATGCTAACTAGCCAACTGTAGCAAAATATAATATAATATATGGCCGGGAAGCATTAGCATCAAAGGGTTTGTTTGTTTTTTTAAATATAGATTTGTCTGTCTGTGAGAACGTCATCTTCGACTGCTAAGTTAAGTGTTGATGTGTTTTCCAATCAGCTGTGCGAGGCCCTTCTACTCTCCAGTCTTGTGTATTTGTGAGCAGCTCGCTCACTGGTCAGGTTGTTGTTGCGACAGTCCTCCATCATCTACCCTCAAAACCAGTTTTGTCCTCAAAGCTGCAGAGCAGGAGTTCAGGATGAGAGACTGTCTCAGTAAGGCAGCTGGTTTACTGCCTACTCGTGTTAAGTGACAAAGAAGAAACATGAAAGTTGTGCTCAGATCACACATGCATTCCTCTGTGGAAAACCATCCCTGTTGTATTTATAACATTATGATTTTAGGGGAGGAATTATGCTAAGAAAGCAGTCATGGTTTATAATCCTAAAGAAATCCTAGAAGGCAGGTTTAAGGTTTAACAATCCAACTCTAACCCAAACTCATGTCAGTTTCCCACTGGGCTACACGAGAAAGTCGTTCACTCCTTTAATAGATTCTTTCAAAATAAGACACACCTTTGATTTCTCACTTGTTCTAAAAGCATTTCCTCCCACATTCATTCCAAGTTGTTAAAAGTACACCTAACTGCATGTTACAACTACAGTTTTCTACAGTGTGTCCCATTACACGAGTCCAAAAACCACAAAATTAAATCACAACAACTATGATTTCAGTAAATACCCTGTGGGACACAAACAGGAGCACTCGCTCATGTCTTCACCGAACTCGGCAGCCCCAGCTGACCATAAAATGCCGTTTCCCCCCCTCATCCCTCACACAGCCAGTAAATCTGCAGCACATCTGCTTACACTCTGCTGGTGTGTGCATTTACACAGAAAATGGATGAAGCTGGTGTGTTTTGAGCCTCATATTCTGCCCTCGCAGAAAGTCTCCCTGGGCTTGAGACGTGGCTAGTTGCTGTTGGGAAAGGATCAAGGGATTTCCCTCTTCACGTGGGAACAAAGCAGCTCCATAACTCACAGAAGGAACACAGCAGTGCACGCCCCGG